ATGGCCTGGTCTTATGACAATTTCAAGTTCACAATACAAAACAATAAAAAAATTCATAGAATTCTTCCTATCCCTCCCCCACATAGAATAATTAATGTCCACTAGGATTTTTGTTTCTTCTTAACATGGCAAACAGTACATTACATTCCATAGTCATTACATATTTTATGATGGTATCTGAGTATTTAAAACAATTATCATATTGTACTTGTCCTGTGAATGGAATTGGTTCAGATTGACTATCATTATTTTCTTTTTTGGTTGGGTGGGGGGAATCTAAAATCTATTCATTTACCAAGTTAAAAAGAGTTTCAGGTAGGGGAAAACATTAATGGTTTTATGGCAGATTCTTATAAAAATATAACAGCATTTGAATGTGTATGAATTTTTTCTGCTTCAAAGAATACACAGGAATCAATTAGACTTTCATAAATGAACAATATTATTTCACTTTTTTTCAGGCATACTGTTTTTTTTTTTTAATCAGTTTCACCCCATATGCAAAGCAGTAAAGCCACTAAGACACAATGGGTTACAGGGTGTGGAAGAATTAGGGACAGAAACATTAATAATGAGCAGGAAGACAAAAGAGTAATCAGGACAGTAGACAATGCATTTAAATTTTTTCAGATTAAAGTTGGCTAGAAAGCATGAAGCCAGAAGGGAATTCCACATGCGAGAAGTGTGAGAAAAGAAACTGTTAGCATTGAATTTACAGTTACATCTAGCCAGCTCAACTGTAAATTGATGAGATTTCAATGCCAGTCTAGTACTGTATTTAAATTCAAAAAGTCTAGATACCATAGCAAAGAGCTCAGCCAATTACCATGAAGGTATTTATAAAAAAGACACAAAGAGGCAACAAAACTGAGAGAGTGACTGAAGCTGAGCTGCCAGATCAGAACCAATAATATTACTGATTCTTCTTTGGATTTTATCAAGGAGCTCAAGTTAAACAGCAAGGGCCTCAGACCATATGTGATTGCAATACATTAAGCATAGATGGATGGTAGACTTATAGATATACAAGATAGATTTTGGAGAGAAAAATTGTCTAGCAAGACACAGCAAACCAACTCTCTTAGTAGCTGACCTAATACTTGAAATAAACAAATATCAATTAATTTTTAAGACAGTTTGCTATGTTACCAACAAAAAATATATTCACAATGATTTTATGGTTTAAAAGAACAAAATAAACAAGTATGAAATGTGTTATATCGACGATATACACAGAGAAGAATGAGTGCTTAATATATTTATTCAGCACCAGTATCTGGTGTTAATGGATACATACAAAAACACAGAACAGTAAGTTACAAAACAATTAACAAGACAACTTAAAAGAAATAGAGGAGTATCAAATGCTGTATAGTTAAACTAAGTAAGATCAGTCCGAATATTAATCAATTTGAAGTGCTTAATCATAGACTATTTAAGGCTATGAGCTAGGCCATCTGGTAGAGTGCTGAAGGGGTGCTAGCTACTCTACAACACTTTACTCATGTCACAAAGATATCTGCTCTTTCAATGGATTTGGGAGCTGGCTAATAGTGCTTTTGGTTTTATTTTTGGTAATACCTGTTAATAATTTAATTTTGGAAATCATAATATATATGTATATATTTCATTATCCTTAAAAATAGAAACGATCCAAACATAGTTAAATTATACAGCAAATATTAATGACTATAATTTAGTTTCTAATTTTAAATATAATGAATAATACTTATCTTTCAAATGCATTGTTTTTCAAGGCTACTTAATTTCAGTCATGGTCATTTTTTGTTACCATAGCAGGATGTGACAACACAACTGCAAAATTCAAAGTGGCAATCAACCTGGCATACCTCCAGAATGTTAAAGGTTAAGGAAGGCAGAAATAGAAATAAAATATTTTTTCATGCTGTTGGTTTGAGGCAACGAGGGTTGTGACAAGTCTCTGAAACTCAAATCCCTCCCAATGGATATAACAGTCCAATAAAAAAAAAAAAAATAATGATTCAGAATAAAAGAAGGGTACATAACATGACTCATTTGGTAGAAACTTTTACTTTAACCGGTTCATTTGTGCAAGACAAAACTGTTTGAAAATATTCTTTGAAAGAGGAAATTAATTGTAAGAAATTAAAACAAGTTATGTAAATAGATTCACATTGGAAATTCAACATTAAAATCAATACCAAAAGTCCATCATTCATCAGTGTCTCCTTTCATAGAAATAAATACTTATAAAATGACCAAGAAAATTTTACTAATAATGAAAGCATTAATACTACATGAGATGATCAATAAATGTTTGCTTGTGTATACAAATTGGAAGGTATATCATTAATATGCTAAACAAATTATTTAATTCACAAAGGTGGTCAGCTGAAAGAATGATGTGATGGAATTATACAAATTCAAAAAAATTTGGGTTTTTTTTAAGTATTGTTTTTTATAGTTAAATAAGTCATTTGGAAAAATTTAAATATCCCTATGAACTGAGAAATGGCTCTAGAAATATTGATTATTAAATAGAAACAGTGGTTCATTTGGAATAAATGATGCAATAACAAGAAAGGAAGAGAAAAGGCAGACAGAGTAAAAGGTTTATTTCTGATTTATTCATGGCTTCAAATTAATTTTTTTTTTTTTTAAGCGTTTCACCCCAAGCAAGGTGGGAAGCCACGAGAATGCAAGGGGTTACAGAAGATTTGGAGCAAGATCAGATAGGAGTGATAGAGGAAAGGATGAAGAGAAGGATAGGGGATAGATCAAGACAACTGGAGATGTCAACTGATGTTACATTTGAATAGTTGGAGATTATAGATCTCAGGGAAACTAGAATAGGAAAGGGAGTTCCACAGGCAAGATGTGCGAGATATGAAGCTATTGGAGTAGAAGAGACAGCTACATTTAATAGTTTCGACAGTGAAAGGGTGAGAGCAGGATGCCAGCCATGTAAGGTGCTTGAATTCATGAAGTCTGGGAACCAATGAATGCAGCTCCTCGGAGCAATTACCATAAAAGTATTTGTGAAAAAGACCGAGAAACAGGGAGCCAACTTTCCTTGCGGTTGATGAAGCAGTTGACTCAATGTATTTGTTCCATCTCAGGTCAGCAGCCAATGTGAGACCGAGCAGCCGCAGAGAGGTGCTCTCGAGAAGTTGAGCGTCAGACATTGTAATGGGAGGCAGGGATGGTTCTCTGTGGTGAGTAATAGAGAGCAGTTTTGTTTTTGAGCCATTTAAGTTGACCAGCCAATTCCTGCCCCAGTTCACAACCGATTGGAGGTCCTTTTCGAAACGAATGACCAGATTACTTTTGTCAGTGACACTAGATTTGTTTTTGAGGCAGGAGTATATTGTGGTTTCATCTGCATAGATGCCAACTTGGGAATCTATGATGTCAGGAAGGTCATTTATGAAGATAAGGAATAGAGTAGGGCCCAGGATGGATCCCTGAGGAACACTTGTAGATGTAGATCTGTAATAGGATTTGGCTAATCACTCTGGCAGACAGTTGGGCTCAGATATTAGAACTCTTCAGCCATTTCATTTTCATATCAAAAAGACTATGGACTTATGAACTCAAAGACATGCAATTAATTTGATAAGCAATTTAATTAAATGGAGACAAAAGTAAATTATTTGCATTCAGACTATTGTCCTCATCTTTGTCGTCATCATCATCACAATGTTTCGTCCATTGAGTCCTCATCTTTGTCGTCATCATCATCACAATGTTTCGTCCATTGAGTCCTCATCTTTGTCGTCATCATCATCACAATGTTTCGTCCATTGAGTCCTCTGGTGTTTTTCAGGTGTTTGTCAATCTAGGTAACCCTCGGTGAATTTACATTGATAAGGGAAAAAGTTCCACTCAGCTTCTTCTCCAAAACTGGTTTTGTGGAATAAACCCCTGAGAGTATGCTTCCATAAACACTACAAGTTTAACTACTATTATCTCTCCTTCATAATATGCACCTCTTACTTCCTCCTTTTAGGCCCTTAACCCCTCTACTTTGAGTGGCTCTTAGGTCTTGTACTGGGTAAACAACAGTATAACAAAAATGCACATCTCAACAGATGTCTTGAATTTTTTTTTAAAGTTTTATTCCTAAAATTTGTGTACCGAATTCTTTTTATTGAATGAAACATAAGGTTGTACTTCTATGCAGAACTGTTGGTAAAATAGTCGCATGAATTGATAGATGTGACAATCACAACAGATTTGCAGAATTGTCCTAAAGTTCACATATTTTTCTGCACATTTTTACCTTTTAATACCAAATTCCATTCAAGATATTTCCAGATGCTATCTTCAAAGAATTTCAAAAATTCTTTTATTCTGGCAATGAAAGAAAAGGGTGATTCATCTCCAAGACACACTGAATATAAACAAACACACACAGATTTAACATTACCCGAGGGAATACAAAAGAATTCTCAGTAAGAGAAAAAGATCAAAATAAAAACTATGAAATAGAAGAATGCCAAAATCAAACAAGTACAGAAGTTTAAATATCTGGGAAGTGTAAAATGGAAAATGCAACACCAAAATCTGTACACAACATTGGAATGGCAAAAATACATTCCAAAATCTAAGCAATGTACTAAGAAACCAGAAGATTTCATTAGAAACAAAGTACCAAACTGCTATTGAATATTAATCCTTTTGCATGATAGTGAATGCTGGACAATTTCCTCACAGATGAACAGTGTACAGCTTATATTTTATATCATAAAGAAACAATACAACAAATTAATTAACAATGTTAATGTGATTAATGGCAAAATCACTTATTACAAGTCAACTTCTACAGAAGGATGCTGAGATAAATCAAGTAAGCAACAAAGAAGTCTTGAAAAAAATGAAAACTAAAAGACATTTACACTCAGAATCAGAAAGAGATAGCTGAAATTTTTAAGGCACGTAATGAGGAAAGAGGACTTAGAAAAACTGATAATCACAGGGGATATAAAAAAGCAGAAGAGACGGGTGGAAGTACAGAGTCATCTCCCTGACATGTGAAAGGGTGGTAGGACAGGAGGGGGAAAGAGGTGGTAGGACAGGAGGGGAAAGAGGTGGTAAGACAGGAGGAAAAAGGGTGGTAAGACAGGAGGGGGAAAAGGGTGGTAAGACAGGAGGGGAAAAGGGGTGGTAGGACAGGAGGGGAAAGAGGTGGTAGGACAGGAGGGGAAAAGAGGTGGTAGGACAGGAGGGGGGAAAGGGGTGGTAAGACAGGAGGGGAAAGGTGGCAGGACAGGAGGAAAAAGGGTGGTAGGACAGGAGGGGGAAAGGGTGGTAGGACAGGAGGGGAAAGAGGTGGTAGGACAGGAGGGGAAAGAGGTGGTAGGACAGGAGGGGAAAGAGGTGGTAGGACAGGAAGGGAAAGAGGTGGTAAAAACACCAATGTTACTAACAACTAAAAGGAAGAGAAAGTTAAGAAGAGCTGTGATTGCTCAAAGAAAGTTATTTCTACATTGAATACAAATAAAATTCTATTCTAACAGTCCTTTTCTCACACTCCTTGCTTGTTAAACTCCCTTCCAGCACCAAACATTCCAGCCAACTTTAATTATCAAGAATTTAAATGTAATGTCAGTCACTATCTACTATCCTCCTGACTACTCTTGTTATCGCTCCTTAGCAAAGTTTCTGCTTCTAATTCTTCTACACCCAGTAAACCTTTGTTTCTTAGTGCCATCACTACCTTCTTTAGGATGAACTTGATTAATATATATATATATATATATATATATATATATATATATATATTGGCTATTTGTAACTTCTTTCAGGATACAACATCTGTCCTCTCGATTACTCTTCTTTTGTCATCACTCCTTAGCAATGTTTGTTTCTGCTTCTAATTCTTCTACACTGTGGAATTCAACCAGTATACCAGGACAGCATCATAGAAGAGGTCGGATGGACACACATCAGAATATTTATATAAAAAAAAACAAAGAAAAAAAACGGGTTTCTTGAGGTCCCTGTGTTTAAGCAGGCAAGGAGTGAATATTAGTGTGAACTGTAAACATGGATAGATGACATGTGGTCCCCTAATGACCTGATCCCATTGATGGCAGTGGTTTAAAAGAATAAAGGAAAGGTCCACCCAGTGTTAGATTACTGTAAAGTAAGCGAGCATGTTGACACATATATGGCTCATGGAAATGTTTGTGCTAAAAAATTGAGAGAAAGGCATAGAAAAGGACCCAATGTTTCCATGCTTAATCTTCACAAGGCATAACTACAGATACATATGCATTGATTGCTGTGGTCATTTCAAACCATCGTTTATAAAGAGCAGAGGTACTGCCTGACAAGAATGGGATTTGGGTTCAATGTGGCACTGGCTATCTCCAGGCCACTTCAGCCTATACTGATGACATCTATGTCAATGAAAACAACATGCATAAGACAGCATCTCACCAGAACAATTGGAAGACAATACCAGAGTGCCCAATTTGCAAGTTTGGGAGAGCAGAACACCTTGGACTGGAAGTGTGGCAGTGAAGTATTGAAAGGACCCAAAGTTTTGATTTGGCAAAAAAAATATTTTTACAATGCAGAAAATTAGTTGGATGCTTTCCTGTTTCTGGCTGGCTCCATATTATGACCACGTTCAAACACAGAGCAACTGAGGTTACGTCTGGCTGCGACATCGAAGTAACAGACACCCCCATCAACAACTAGATTTTGGATGTCATTACCAGAGTACTCCAGGAATGACCCTGTGCAAGTCAAGTGGTGTATCAACTGACATGAGTTTGAAGTATAGGTTGATGCAAAAAAAACGGGTATCTGAGTACCCTGTGTTTAAGCCAGCAAGGAGTGAATATCAGTGTGGCATGGATAGATGATAGGTGGCTGATACCTTACCCCGAAAAAGAACTTGTTCTCCCAAATGGCCTGATCCCATTAATAGCAGTGGTTCAAAAGAATAAAGGAAAGGTTTGCTCAGTGTTAGATTACCATGAGCTAAACAAGCATGTTGACACATACACAGTTCATGCTGATGTTTGTGCCGAAGAATTGAGAGGATGGCAGAGAGAAGGGCCCAATGTTTCCGTGCTTGATCTTTGCAGCTGAGTTGTATGTTGTACCTAGGGGTGTTAATGTAGCACTTCAACAGAAGGCAAAAAAGTTGCACTTATTCACAGACTCTGCATGGATGGATATCTGAAACACTCACCGAAAAGATCAGAATACAAACAAAGGCCTCAAGCAAGATGCTCATTTGGAGGAGGCTTAGCACCATGGAAAAACTGCTCAGTAAATATGACTTATTGGTGGACATAAAGCTGGTGAGATCCAGCTAGAACTGAGCAGACAAGTTGATGAGGGTACCGTGGAGATGGCTCAATGCAGTGAGGAAGGAGACAGAACTGGTGAATCTTTTCTGTACAGCATCAATGAGCAAATGTGGTTCAGACAAGATAAGGTCAGTACACAGTATATCTGTGGCGAAAGAGAAAGTCATTTAATGAGAAAAAGGGTACGTGTTCTGTATGATATACAAAAGACAAAGTGACTGAAACAAAAATAAGTCAGTTGCAAGTGCTGCCATAAATGCATCTCAGATATGCTAATATTGTATCCTCTCCCACCTGTCGACCAATGAAAAAAATTGTACTGTCAATAAACACAGATGGTGTTTGCGAATTGGGGCATTGTTTTATTTTTCCACTTGATCCATTGGCTTGAGTATTGGATTTCTGACTGTTTATGTGTATTGGGATTTGTGACATTGGACCTGTGATTTCAACATTTCTTTCTATCCCTGGATCTTCCAGTTTATACTTGTGATTTGTTTATTTCATTTTGGAATTGAACTGTCATATCAATTTTTTGAACAAGAACCTTTTGTAAAGGTGGTTGTCATGAACTGTCCCTCTTCTTCAACATTTTTAAATCCCCATTATTACTGCAAACTGTTTGGACATGTAGCTAAATGATTTAGCATGTGGTGAGTCAAATGTTCATTAGTCAAGTAGCTACAAAAAGTTTCTGACTTCAGTCATAATATCTGTGCAAATTACAAGCACATGACCTGTTGTAACCCAGAAAAGGTTACTGAATAAGAATAACCAAAATGAAGGTTAAAAATAGAACGATAATATTTATAACAGAAACAACATACAAGATTCGCCAGTGGTGTGTGGTAATTAATAAACTGCTAGTGGTGAGCTAGAAGTGAATCTAGGTGAATTCCCACAAATCCCATGTGGAAGACAATATACAGTATATACCACTGTATTTTATAGGAACTAGGACATAGGTACAGTATAACATGACCATAAACTAATGTTAATGTAAGAGTCTACTTAATATAAAGTGAGGATCAATTTTCTATTGTTATCAAGTAATAAACTAATCACCCAGAATTACATAAAATTAGTGTAACTAAAAAAAATGTTTAAGCGTGTGTTAGTGCTGCATGTGTTTGAACAACTAAAACATATTTCCTAATATTTAGCAAAGTGGTAAGTCAAATTTTCAGGATGAGTCATTTTCTGAATTTCTGCATAATGACTGAATTCTTAACTCCACAAGAGCATCTTCTTGGTCTCACATTTCCCACTGACCTGAGGTGGAACAACTACATTGAATCAACAGCTTCATCTATCACAAGGAAAGTTGCTTCTCTGTGTTGTGCCAGAAGGTTTTTCTTGTCTGAGTCCATCCTTCAAATCTACTATTCGTCCTTGAATCGAATACCGTTCCTCTATAAGGTCTGGTGTCTCCGCTGATCATCTTAAGGTTCTCGACAAAATCCAAAGACGAATATGCAATGTGATAGTTCTTGATCCCTGTCCTTCTCTTTATCCTTTCCTCATACACCCCTCTTTACCCATTACTCTCACTCTCTGTAACCCCTTGTGTGTTAGTGGCACTCCCGTCTTGCCTGGGGTGAAATTGTTGTAGAGGAGTTTTCACAGTGGAGGCTTGTATTTCACTAAGTCGGTCCTAAATTAGGTTTGACGTACAAAACGTTAGGAACTTGAAAATAATAGTTAATGACGCAGCAATCTAGTTGTGGTGGTTGATACTTCAATGTCCAACATCGACTGACTCACTCAACTCAGTGAGCCCCCTGGCGACTGCTACTACTACTACTTATTATATCTGGAAGAGTCTATTAACAATAGAATAGGTATGTTCCGGTATAACAGAAATACTTAAAAAAAAGAAAATATGTGTGTGTGTGTGTATAAAGAAATGTATAAACAGAAAATATATTAAAATAATTGTCAGACTGAATCCATTTCATAATATGTTATTGTTTATGATAAGATATATTTTATGAGCAGATATGATCGATCGAGAAAAATTGTAGTAGAAATGTATGCAAAGATTGCAGTAGCCTTCTTGTTCGTTACTTGAAATGTGAAAAGAATTAAAAAAAAAAACTGAAGAGGAGTCAATCTCATTATAAATTGTTTTAAAAGAAGAAACTGAAAATGAAATGAAACCTTTTGTGTTGTAATAAAATAAGCACATCCCATCTCCCCTCTCACTTGTAACCATCCATCACAATAAATGTTTTTCAGCACCAAAGCTTAATTAGTAAAATAAAGCTTTATAAGCTTTACGATATTACAACCTTTTGAAACCTACAAATACAGTTTTTAATATTGGCCTTTGAATTTGGCTTTTTAAAATAAAACATCTTGTTTTTACTATTTTCATTTTTAATTATTGTAAAAGAATCCCAGAGCACACAAGACACTATATAAGATGAAAATGAAGAACTAAATGATTTATTTATAATCTAAATCAGATGTTTGAAAAGCCCACTATGATAATGCCCCATAGAATTAACAGAGAATTAGGGACATAACACATAACAGAAGTAATGATTATTCAACTAGCTTTCTGAATTTAAGTAGTTTCTGGTATGAATCCTAACATTTGTGTGAATTACAAACACCTGACAGTAAAGTAAAGTCTGTCTGTAAAAATTGTGGTAGAAACATATGCAAATATCACACTAACCTTCTTGCTCATTGCTTGGAATGTAAAAAAAATAAACAGCTAAGTGGAGTCAATTTCATTATAAATTATTTTAAGAGAAACATACTGAAAATAAAATGAAACCTAGTTTTATGTATTTGAATTTTTTTGAAACTGACAAATTCATTTTTTAATATTGGCTTTTTAATTCTTTTTTTTTTCTTTTTTTCAAAATAAAATATCTTTTTCAGTTTCATTTATCCTAAAATGTCTGAAAGAACAGTCAAAACAATGGTAATGCTAATATCAGCCAGTGCAACTTTTGGTTGAAATGTATAAAATCTTTCCATTAAAACAATTTTTCAGGAAAACAGGTTTCTCAACTCCAGTAACTGTTATGGCTCTTTCTCTTAATGATAGTTGTTTCCTTCCTAACCTTTTGTTTGATATAGTGTGGAATATCAACATCTTAGTTATAGTATTATTTCCTCTTCGAGATATGTGCTATTCATTTTAGTTGTTGCCACTGTTGAAATTCCTCAAATGATATGGTTTCTGTTATTTAGTAAACTTGTTTGTGATAGCAGCAGTCCAGAAAGTTTAAAGATGGATGGTACTCACTAAAACCTACAAAAACAAGACAATTAAGAAATAAATGATATATCTATAATGTTTTAAATGGGATATTTGAAAAGCCATGTTACTAAAGTTGTGACAATGCCCTGGAGTACTATTGGAAGGTTAAGAATGATGTTAGTATCCAAATCCCATAAAATGATCTCCTTGCTATAAAAATGCCAACAGGACAGCAAGAAAATAACTCAGCCCATTAGACAGACATGACAAAAACATCTAAAACCTCAAGATAAGCTCTCATCTAAAATGTCCAAGGTAAAAATAAAATAAAAAAGCCACTTGAGGACATGGAAGCAAACATGAGACAACAGGGACGACCTAGAGCCAGTTGGTGAGAAAAGCCCAGGAGAGGACAGCCTGGCAATCTTTTATCACCCACGCATATCACAGCTGACATAGAAGACTATAAAAAAAGAAGTAAAAAAAGTCAATAATGCTTTGCAAAAAACAATATTTTTCCAGAACTTGTGAAATTCTCTTCTGTTTCACTACCACTTGAAGGTTTATATTTATTCAAAATTCTTGAAGTAAAAATAAAGTTGTCTGTGGCTAAATACTGGTTGTTGCAAATGTATTATTACTGCTCTTCCAAATGTTTCTTGCCCCCTTTTTTTTTCTTTTTTTTTTTTTTTAAAAAACTCATAATTTTTTCAGTGCTTATAAAATCTTTACTAGATTATTATTTATCATGGGTGAGTGAATACATTTTAGAGGAATGCAAAAATTATATTGAAGGAGTTGATGGATAAAAATCTCATGCATACTGTCAAGTTGTAAATGGGGCCAGGGATACAATATAAGCAAGTTAGTCTTGAGCTTCTAACTGAAATAATCCCTAAGCATAAAACACAATGGGCATTATATATATATATATATATATATATATATAACATACATATATGTATATGCATATAGTATGTATATATATGTAAATATATACCTACCTACCTCATGTATTTGGGTAGCAATCCCTCTTTTATACATGTGTCATTAAAATTGGCTGACAAGGTACTGCGATTAAGCTTTTCATTTAACCTTTTTTGTGTTCTTACAAGTGTTTTCTTTTCTGGACACAAAATGTGTATAAAAAAAGTGTCCAAAACTTCTGCATATCTGAGCAATTTCAGCTGTTCTTTTAGCCATTATCAAGGATATTTTTTTATTTTAACTGAATGCGTGGTTTTTTTTATCTATATGTTTTAAGATATAGGAATGTTTTTATTTTTCAAACTTGGTCACAAAATTATTTTTAATCTTTTCAACAGTTTTTATACACTTTATGTCCAGAAAAGAAAACATTTGAATGAATCCAAGGAAAATTAAATAAAAAGCTTAATTAGAGTACCCTGGCAATCATCTTTAATGCTTTTTATATATATATATATATATATATATATATATATATATATATATAGGAGGCACGGTGGAGCAATGGATAACTGCTTGGATTGAGGAATCGCAGAGCCAAGTTCGAATTCCAGTCGAATCCATTACATTCACTTACATGCTAATACCCTTGGGAAAGGTATGAAACCTCTTCCTCTCCCTCCAGCTATGGGTAAAATAGCAGGACAGACTGGGTTCTATAGCCTTGGATGGCAACTGGTCTAGGAGAAGGTCAACTCTGAATTCAAAACCTGCGGAGGGTTGTTTGGGAACCTTGTGGCATTCGGTGCACCAGGTCTCTGTATTCGTCCCTTCAAAAAGCGTGGATGATCCTGCACAAAGCCTTCACCACTATAATCAAATCACATTTGCCGGTGTTGGGCTGTCGGTTTCATGGAAACTGATCTGCTTGACCCTCATATGTCGAATCTCGATGGGAGAGTTGACTATATATATATATATATATATATATAATGTAAATCTATTTAAACTTGGTGGGTGAAAAATCCTGGATAGCAGAATTTCCAAACAAATTGGCATCCAAGGAAAAAATTTTGCCAAACAAAAGAAAGAACCAGAAACCTCTGATCAGGCAAAAGAAATCATCCAGTATATTAAATCTCTGGGACAAAGAAAAAAAACCAGCAAGTAAGAAGTTAAAATGAAGAGTGCTCAATACATTAAGTAGAGCAAAGGTAATGTGGTGAAACCTCGGTAGGTAATAATACCTGGTTCATGAAGATTTTTTTATATATATATATATATATATATATATATACGAATTTTATTATTTTTAAATATTTAGAGCACAACTATATATAGATATAGACAAATGTATGTCGCCATTTTTATATTATTTGCACACACATATATATACATATATATATATTATATATACAAGATGTTCATAAAGTTCGTGTGCACTTTAAAAAATTTATAACTATTTATATTTGCGATAGAAATAATCTGTAAAAAATGTTATAAAGTTTAATATACCTAGTTTTAAGTATAGTTATTGAATAATTCTTTACCACAAAATTTACAACAATTTTTAGATAAGTAAAAAAATATTTTCTTTTTTCCAGAATCAATTTGATCCATGGCTTCAACTGAGGAAAAAGTAAACTGTGTCCTTTGGTTGGCTGAACTGAAATCTATTATTGCTGTACAAAGAAAGTTTAGAATTGAATACAATAAAGAACCATCTTATAGGAACTCTATTGCTAAATGGATGAAAAAATTTAGAGACAGGCTCTGTGGAGGACATGGGAAACTTAAATAAAATTTCCATAAAACCTTAAAAAATACAGATTTACTTCTTTCTAATCTTTTTTACAAATAATTCTATCACAAATACAAATAAAGTTATAAATTTTTTAAAGTGCACCCGAACTTTATGGACACCCTCTGTGTGTGTGTGTGTGTGTGTGTGTGTGTGTGTGTGTGTGTTTGCGTGCATATATATATATATATATATATATATATATATAAAAGTTAATGGTCAAAGTTGAATTAGACCAGGAAACAGTAGCATTAAAAAACTGCTCAATACACATATAAAATAATAAAAATTTAACATGTAGTGCTTTTAAGTACAGAAAATTAGTAAATGAGCTGATTATGCTAGCTTGTAGCGGAATTGGCTTATTCCCCGATTTTCTATATATTCTGTGTGTCTGTGAGTGCATCTGGCACTTTTCTCAGTAAAAAGATGAATAGAATTTCTCAAAAAACCATAAAGTTCACTTCATTCAAACACACCCAAAAGATTTCTACTAGATATTTATTCGTCCACGAAGGTGATGGGATGTGACACAAGGTTGGTTTAATGTGGAGGGCTCAAGTGCATGCACCTGTGCCAGGGCAAAAAATTGTCCCATTCCTGCAGCCAAGATTGTGCTGGCATCGCTATTACTACTGACCATCCCTTGTTAGTGAAATGAGGGAGGTACTGCCTTAGGTAACGGATACCTGGGACTATACAACTCTCATTTCTAAATTATTTTGTAAAGAAACAAATATTCTTACCATTTATAGTACTTTTTTAATTGCTGAAATTTTCCTGTTATCTGATGGTACAGGCAAATTAATTCAAGGAATCAGGACAATAATTCAAAATTTCTGACAATACACTGAAGAGGTAACATATTGCCTGAAATATACAGATAACAATGATTAGGATATTAGTATAAATTGTAAAAAACAACACATGGCACAGTGAATAAAGGTGCTAGTTAGATCCAGTGACAGGACCCAAACAGTGTGAGTTCAATACCTGGTTAAGGCAGTGGAGAACTTGGAGAGGGGAATTAACAGGAGAGAACTGATAACTGACATCCATAAAACATGGCACGTGGAACTAGAACAGTCTACCCCAGAGAGCGAAATAAAGGGTTCAGTTCAACATTCCAACCACCTGAAGAAGGCTGGAGTGTACAACGGCCACAATGTTGTATTAAATATGGCAACAAAGATGAGGACAATAGAATGAATAATGTAAATAAATACCTCATCTCAGAAATATAGACAGACAAAAAAAATTTGCTGAGAACTTTATACAAGGAAGATTGTTTTCAACATGAACCATCAACCAAAGATGAGGATATTAGTCTAAATAAGTCACAGAATAATGACAGTTATTTATTTCAGGATTTTAAATCATGATATAAAGACAGCAACCACAATGTTGTGATCAAAGCAACAAAGATGACGATATTAGTCTGTATAAAACAGAGAATGACGACAATGCTTCATCTGTTAACTTAGAACAAACCAAGTTTATTAACAAGTAGAAATTACATTCAAACCATAGTAATATAAGATATGATACAGAATCTAAGAAAGCCGACAAAATATAATGAGAATAATAATAAAGTCAGTTTTGCTTATCAGCCTTGATAGCAAGGACTGTATGCAGTTGCAAAGATACCTATAAGGTTGACAAGCTAATCTGCAGATGGAAATAATTCAGTACGTCAGCAAATTGCTTAACACTGCCATTTCATGAGTGGTGGCAGGGCCTGACTAAATTAAGGATATAGAGACGGGCAAGGTGTGGAGTAGATATTGGTGGGGGGCCCTGCTAGACTTGTTTTGTTTGTGCTTAAACAACCCTTCAATGGATAATGGTCAAAAAGTAGTTCTGTGGGAGGAGCTAGGGAAACTGTGTATAAAGATAATTTGTATTTGCAGTGCATTGTGGGTAAATTTGTTCCTTTTCCAGACATTATCATTTGCCAGATTTTATACATTTTATTATTATTTTTTTTTTTTTTCCTAATTCCTTTTTCTGATTTTTAATATTTACGATCTATTTTTTTCTCTGTTACTATAGCAGCCTGGAAAGAAATATCTGCATCTACAGACATGAATATATTGATTTAAATCCAAGTTAATAAGGGTAAAGTAAATAGATAGGAAAAAAAAAAGAAAGAAAAAAGTGTTTCAAGAATTGACCTGACTTTGAAAACTACAGTATCATTTATTATTTCAATATATTTCCATTTTGAAACAGCAAACAAACTAAACGAGACATTAACTTCATTGCCAAACTTCAGACAATAATAAATGGGGTGGGAATAAAAACTAAAACGAAATAATAAAAACAACAGAGATGAAGATACTAGTCTAAATAATTCATTGAATAATAATATTTCAGCTCAGATTAAAAAAAAGTATGGAAAAGTAAGCATTAAATGAAAGACTACAATCAAAATAATAAACATTGGGATATTCAGATAATGACAAATCTTTGTCTTTGAAGTTTATATCGGACTAAAAAGGTAGGAAAGAATGCAAAAAGACAGTTTAAAACAACAAATGTGAGATTTCTACTTTGATTTTGTCAATTTAGTTGAACTATTGTCATTATATTCGGCTAAGTACCAACTAGCCATCTTCAGATGTCAATGATTTTGGCTTTTATCAGGTATCTTATACATCGATTATTGTGTTACTTTTGTTCGTGTGATGTCATTTCTTGTTTGCTTCTGCTGAAGAAGAGCATATTGA